TATTAAAAAGCAGAGACATTACTTTGCCAACAAAGGTCTGTCTAGTCAAGGCTATGGTTTTTCCAGTGGTCATGTATGGATGTGAGAGTTGGACTATACAGAAAGCTGAGCACCAAAGAACTAATGCTTTGGAACTTTGGTGTTGGAGAAGACTCTTGAGAGACCCTGGGACTGCAAGGAGATCCAACCAGTCCATCCTAAAGGAAATCGGTCCTGGGTGTTCATTGGAAGGACTGATGCTGAAGCTGAAACTCCAATACTTTGGCCACCTCACACAAAGAGCTGACTCATTTGAAAAGACCCTGTTGCTGGGAAAGATTGAGGGAAGGAGAAGGGGATGACAGAGGATGAGATGGTTGGATGGGATCACCAACTCAATGGACATGGGTTTGGGTGGACTCTGGGAGTTGGTGATGGACAGCGATGCCTGGCATGCTGTGGTTCATGCGGTCACAAAGAGTCGGCTGCTACTGAGCGACTGAACTGAACTGAACTGAACTGAAACTTGAAAGAGGGAGTTGGTGGGAAATTTTGGAGGGTTGGCTAATATAGGTGAAGGATTGATTTTTGAGTATTGTTCCAAAGGAGAAGTCTAACTTTTCCAGAGTATGAACACAGGACCTGGCCCCTACAGGATTTAATTAATACTTGTTGAAGGAATGAATATTTGAAGAACATGGTACAAACTGACAGTAAAATGGGAAGAACAGAAATGTTTAGGGCTTATCCTTATTAGTTTTGTTGTGAAACAACTGAATTTTAGAGATTAAATGATTTTAAGTAATGTGTTGTGCAGTTGCTTTGAAGTTAAAGTATACAGAACCTAAGGCTCGAGGGATATGCCTCTAGAATGGTGGAGAAGTGATGATGTCTCCATCCTCTGTGAAGAGGCAGCATGTGAACTGGATACAGTTCTACAGAAAGGACTTCTGGAGGGGGTCAGTGGTCATGAACTCCAATGAGACAAATCTCCATTGCTGTAAGGGAATGAGGAGAGAAGTCAAAATGTCATAAGTTTAGTGATCAGCCTATGAATTCACAAATATCAGAGAGTTCTGACTTGTTTGTGGAGTCATTTTGAAGAACAACTGACTGAAGACTACAGTCATGTTTTTGTTTTTGTTTTTCCTTTAAATCTATGCAAGAAACTTTTTTCCTAATTGGAAGAAGGCTGTNCATGGGTGGAGGAGCCTGGTGGGCTACAATCCATAGGGCCTCAAAGAGTCAGACATGACTGAGCGATTCACTGCAGGAGTTCAGAAACTTTAGAGAGCTCTGACTTGTTTGTGGAGTCATGGTGAAGAACAACTGACTGAAGACTACAGTCAAGGTTTCTTTCTTTTTTTCTTTATATCTTGGCAGGAGACTTTTTCTCCTAATTGGAAGAAGGTTGTCTTCCCAAACTGGGAAAACCTATTTTGAGAAAGTTGCACTATTCTGGTTACCACAAAGTCGACACAGCAACTGACCAAGCTACACTCCTTTGTTGTTAGAAAGCTCCTAAATTCTTCCAGAAGGCGATAGAGCCTCTGCCTAAGCACTTAATTCTCAGGATCCTTCATTTCCTCTCAAGGAAACATACCTTTCTGTGGTTATCCTTATACCTTCTATGTTGAAAGCAGACTCTAAAAATCTTGGTACTAATCCTTACATGCTGGTTTTTAAGCTGAGGTTTAAGAAAGTCAACAGCTGAGACATTCTGGAGTTTGTCTTCCTTTTTCTGTTGCTTAAGAGGTCTGAATTAGAGATGAGGTCCTAAGTGTGTTATGAGGCATTTGAGCTGAGTTTCATGTGAAAATGAACCAAAATGAACATAGAAATAAAAATAACAACTTAGTTTCTTCCAACAGCTAGAATTAGTTGACATATGTAGACGTCTTGTGATTTAGCACTTGTTGAGTGTTCTACCATGCCTTCTATGAGTGATTTAGCCTGAAAGACTTTTAAGATCATTTAGTCATTCATTCCACATTTTATTCTTTTATTTCAATACCAGATTCACTTATTTAACATCTATATCCTGGACTTAAAAGAAGAAGAGATGCTCTGAAATCATGCTTGAAGTCAGAATCTCCAGCCTGATCTCCTCAAGACAAAGGTGTAGACCTTTCCAAGAACCACTTCCTGAAACATTTCTCTAGTGCTTAGGATTTCTAAACATACCTTGACAGGTTGTAAATCTCCAATAACAAAAAGGGGGCCTACATCAATATCCGGGTCTTTGGGGTAGATGTTTGTTTTGACATGGTGTTGGAAGTGCCGGTTATTCCACCATTTTGCAGATAGGCCCTGAGGAGAAGAGAACATTCATTAGCTGTAAGATTTCTCTCCTGAAATATCTTTCATTATCAGAGTTTTCCAAAACTAAAGAAAATCAACCCTGAATATTCATTGGAAAGACTGATGCTGAAGCTGAAGCTCCAAAATACTGGCCACCTGATGTGAAGAGCCAACTCAATGGAAAAGGCCCTGATGCTGGGAAAGATTGAAGGCGGGAGGAAAAGGGGATGACAGAACATGAGATAGTTGGATGGCATCACTGACTCAATGGACATGAGTCTGAGCAAACTTTATGAACAGGTGAAGGACAGGGAAGCCTGGTGTGCTGCATTCATGGGATCGGAATGAGTTGGACATGACTAGTGCATGAATAGTAACAATCAGAGTTTTCTGCCTACATCTCTAAAGTTTAATTAAGATATGGATTCCTGGAACATGCTGTCCCTCATGCCTGGGTCACAGAATGATTCATTAGCTAGAGGTTTTAAAAGCCTACCAGTGAATAATTATCTTACCCAGGAACACAAATTCCAGCGTAAAACAACTCCTGATAATGAAGAAGAATAAAAACCATTGAAATGTCTTTCCATCTTTCTTTTTATTGTCCTCCTTTTAAAAAGAAATATGAAATAGGTAGAGCAGAGAGTACACTTCTTATTTTATAAATAAAGAATCTTCAGCCCTAAAACTAATTAGTTCTGGGAGGGAAATGGCCCCAGGGTTCCTACTTCAATGAATATTTTAAAGAGTCATGGATCTGAAGTCATCTCCTATGGGGGCTTGCCTCTGATCATCACATGTTCAAGCTTCAATGATCTCATTAAATATAAGTGACAATAAAAGCATTTTAGTTTATGCCAAGCTCATATCACCTCTGATTAAGTTGTTTGGGCTTTTCTATCTTCCAGTGAATATCTGAATGTTTTAACAGAGAAAAGTATTTGGAAGCACATCAACTTAGTTGCATCCACTGGGTGTATAAATGCTTCTGTGTGGTTTCGGAAAATTATCTACCCTTTGATGTTCAACTTCTTCTTCAGTAAATATAGTATAATATAATGACATTTACCTGATGGGTTGTGTGAGGAGACATGAGATGCTGTAAGTAGAATGTTGGCATATTGAGATATTCAATTTCTCTTCTCTTCCCCTATTATGTTAATCATTTATAGAAAAATAAGCAATAGTCATAGTTTTTATTGCATATTTGACATCTCTCAAAAATTGATCAATACATATTTTAGATCTGCAGTGCTCAATAGAGTAGCCATTATCTATGTGTGGCCACTGAGCATCTGAGCACTCAAACTGAGGCAGGCTGTGTGAGTATATAATACATACTAGATTCAAAGCCTCAGGATTAAAAAAGAAATGTAAACTATATTAATAATTTTTATATTTCTTTCATGTTAAAGTGAAAATATTTGGAATATATACAGGAGTAATAATGTTGGAAGAGGGTGTTTGCTGTGACCAGTGCATTCTCTTGGCAAAATTCTTTTGGCCTTTGCCCAGCTTCATTCTGTACTCCAAGGCTGAAGTTGCCTGTTACTCCAGGTGTCTCTTGATTTCCTACTTTTGCATTCCAGTCTGCTATAATGAAAAGGACATCTTTTTTGGGTGTTAGTTCTAGAAGGTCTTATAGGTCTTCATANTCTCTTTTGTTAAACTTTTCTCTCTTCTGCATCTTTTCTTTTATTTATACATGGTCCTCCCAGGGCTAAAATGGTTTGCTGGATTCCCCTAGCCTCCCAGAAACACATGTCCAGACCCCTTCTAAGAATATCCCTACTCATGACTTTATAGGTATATCTCTTGAGAGGTGGTTCTTTAATGGTGTATCAGGGATTGGTCCAAATGTTTTATTGGCTAAGAAAAAAACAGAACTTCTTAAATAAAAATAAACCTTTTCTTGTAAACATTTAAAAGTCTAATTTAACATATATGTTATAATGTTATGTGTACATTGTCAGTATATTTACAATTACTTGTGGGGTGTGTAGTAACATTTTTTGCTGATTAGTGTATGTAGAAACCACTGCTTAGTGAGATGACTTTCAGAATCCCATCATACTCCTGGAACATTCTGTACCTTGAGATGACCCATCACAAATTTTTGCATCAGGCGGTTCCACTTGGCCTTCTTAAATATGGATAGGTGTCCCATGTCATGCTGCAGAAATCCACCCTGAGCCTGGAAGAGACAGGGTTGCAGTCAGAGAAGTTGACAAGGAAAGAAGAAGCAGTAAGTGGGCCCGCTGGTGGGTTCAGGACCCCATGAGAACAGTGGCGATCTCTGTATCTGTCACACTTGCTGAGTGCTTTCCCGTCCCTGTACCTTTGCACAGGTGGCTCTCTAAGCCTAGAATGTTCTCTCCACTGTCAGAATCGTCCAGTGTGGACTGGAAGGAGGATGCCTCTGGAGTCAGGCTGACTAGGGCTCTGAACTGTCCTTTACCACTTTACAAGTTATACAACTCTTGCCAAGCTAGTCGGTGGCTCTGAGCTCAGTTCTTTGTCTGAGAAGCAGGGATTATAATATTATACCTTGCTCATTCAGCTGTCTTGCAGCCAAAATACATGTAAAATTCCTGATAATGCTAAGCGGTCAAATATTTGTTTCTTCCTTGATTCCAAAAGTTGCTTTTCAAAGAATAAAGCAAGTTGACTTTTCAAGAAAAAAAATTAGCATATAAAATTTTGTAATTACCATTGATGTTAATTCTCCATGAAATCATCCCCAATTGCCTCAATTAGAATTAGATGCCTCTTTCTGCTCCAGCAGCACATGCTTGTTTCTTTCCCCTCTGCCTTGTATCATGTCTAGATATTTAAATGACCGTCTCCTCTGTTGGATGACTGCTGCCCAAGTACAAGGTCAGGTGCGTTTCCCTTTGTGTCCACAATACAGTGTTGTGGGCATAGAAGGCCCTCTTCAAAGATCTGTGCTTCATTCAAAGGATTTATCAATTGCGCTGCTACACGCCAGTTGCTGATTGCCATTTCTGGCAGAATACTTGATCCTATTATCATGGGATAATAAATAGACTCTCTTCATAGACTGGTGTATTGATAAGCATTGGTGAAGTGGGAGGCTTTTGGCTTGGGTCTCAGGGAATTTTTTTAAAGATATATATATATATATATATATATATATATATAACACATTTTAAGTAGATTCTTTTATTGTGAAACAGCATGTATAAATAGTGAATACACACACATACACACACACACATATATAGATACATACATATAGGTATGAATTAATGCCGGGGGAAATATCAATAACCTCAGATATGCAGATGACACCACCCTTATGGCAGAAAGTGAAGAAGAACTAAAGGGCCTCTTGATGAAAGTGAAAGAGGAGAGTGAAAAAGTTGGCTTAAAGCTCAACATTCAGAAAACTAAGATCATGATATCTGGTTCCATCACTTCATGGGAAATAGATGGGGAGACAGTGGAAACAGTGTCAGACTTTATTTTTTTGGGCTCCAAAATCACTGCAGATGGTGATTGCAGCCATGAAATTCAAAGACGCTTACTCCTTGGAAGGAAAGTGATGACCAACCTAGACAGCATATTAAAAAGCAGAGACATCACTTTGCCAACAAAGGTCCATCTGGTCAAGGCTATGGTTTTTCCAGTGATCATGTATGGATGTGAGAGTTGGACTGTGAGGAAAGCTGAGCACTGAAAAATTGATGCTTTTGAACTATCGTGTTGGAGAAGACTCTTGAGAGTCCCTGGGACTGCAAGGAGATCCAACTAGTCCATCTTAAAGGAGATCGGTCCTGGGTGTTCATTGGAAGGACTGATGTTGAAGCTGAAACTCCAATACTTTGGCCACCTCATGCAAAGAGTTGACACATTGGAAAAGACCCGATGCTAGGAGGGATTGGGGGCAGGAGGAGAAGGGGACAACAGAGGATGAGATGGCTGGATGGCATCACTGACTTGATGGGCAAGAGTTTGAGTAAACTCCGGGAGTTGGTGATGGACAGGGAGCCCTGGCGTGTTGCTATTCATGGGGTCACAAAGACTCAGATACGACTGAGCGACTGCACTGAACTGAACTGAACTGTATGTGGGGCTTCCTTGCTTCATGGTGGCTAAGATGGTAAAGAATCTGCCTGTAATGTGGGAGACTAGGATTTGATCCCTGGGTCTGGAAGATTCCCTGGTAAAGGGAATGGCATCCTACTCCAGTATTCTTGCCTGAATAAATCCATGGACAGAGGAACCTGGCAGGTTACAGTCCATGGGGTCTAAAAAAGTTGGAAACAACTGAGCGATTAAAAAGAAAAAAAATAAGTTCACGTATGTGCATATAGTCTTAATAAAATCATTGAACAACCATTAAAAATGTTGGTTTTTTAATGAATGAAAGATAAAGGCGAAGGTTACACGGTCTAGAACAGAACTCCAGTTACTGACATTGTGTGGATAATATTGGGCAACGGGTAGCAACTGCCAAGGATATTTACCACATGCCAGTCTCTGTGCTAGGTACTCTACAGAGTAACTTGTTTAGTTTTTTTAGAATATTTCCATAAAAAAATTGTTACCCCATATTACAGATGAGAGAACTAGGGCCCAGTGGGTTTTGATAACTTGCTGGTGTCAGACACTGATGAGTAGCTTGCCAGGAAGTGCCAGGCAGCCGCTGACACCAGTGTAAAGAGGGAAGAAAAAATTCTGAGGCTTCCCATAGAGCCACTGCCTGGGTTTAGGACGCCTACTTACCTGAGCAACCGTGAGAAGACAAGAAATGAATATTGTGACAAGCCAGCCACTGCCAAAATGCCACACTATTACCCAAGCCAGGGCTTCCAAAATCAAGACCTGGGCGAGGTGAAGGAAGAAGAACCCCAGGTTGGCATTGAACAAATTCATGGTCTCTAATGTCTTCCGCAGTTCTTGGAAATCTTCCACCAACCGGGACTGTGAGATAAACATGCAAGAAAGGAATTACTTCCTTCAGTGGAGTGGGCGCACAGATGAACATAATTATTAATCTATTTTATCAATGTATGATACATTAATTTTATGAATAGACATTTATTTAATAAATATAATTAGGCATAATTTAAACAAAAAATGAAACCTTAAAAAATTAACAAAAAGCAAAATGCTAAAAACAAGTTATGATAAATTTTTTTTTTCCTGGAGAACAGACAGATGAGTAGTGATTTGTAAACTGTCCTCAAATTGTTATGGGACTTATAATTTACTTCTTTTTTGGGGGATGGGGGAGGTTCATTGAGCAGATACATAACTCTAACAATTCTCTTTTTAAAACTGATTAATTAAATTTTTTTTGATACAGATCATTTCATTTGAAGTGTTTATTGAATTTGTGGCAATATTGCTTTTATTTTATGTTTTATTTATTTTTTTGCTGTGAGGCATGTGAGATCGTGGTTCCCGGATGAGGGATCAAACCTGCACCCCGTGCATTGAAAGGAGAAGTCTTACCAGCTGGGCTGCCAGGGAAGACCCCCAAAAGAAGTTTTCTACTTTTCAAAACAAAGGTTTTATTGAGGTGTAGGTGATGAACAATGTTGCACTGGTGTCGGGTGTACAGCAAACGATATATACATACATATTGTTTCTTCAGAGTCTATTCCACTGTCGACCATTATGAGATATTGAATATAGATCCCTGCCAAACAGTAGGTCCTTGTTGTTTGTCTGTTTTATATGTAGAAGTGAGTATCTATTAATAATAGTTACCTTTTTAAATCAATGTGTTGTTTGATCTCTAATTATACTTTGGCGAACTTTGCTATCTATACAGATCTGTGTTACTTTCTATGTTATCAACTATTTACCATGTGCAAAAGATTCCTTTATGAAATATAGAGTTCACTTAGATTATCTCAAAGGATGAATTTCCTGTGAGATGCTCAGAAGCTCTACAGGAATGAGAAATTTGAAATAATAATAAAAAAGAGCTATGAACATAATCCTAGGAGCAAGAAAATTCATTTCAAATTCACTGATACAACTTTTAAATGATCCAGTGCCTTGGAAAGGTTTGGATGGGCTCATCTCTAGAGGTCCCATGAACATCAGAATTCTGGTGGCCACAGATAACTTTAATAAATCATACAGTGTGCTAGTCAACAAAAAAGTCTGAAATAGAGTACTAGGGTACAAAAATAAAAAATGAAAGATGATCTCTGTTCATTTCCAAGGGAAACCATTCAATATCAGAGTAATCCAAGTCTGTGCTCTGCTCACTAATGCTTAAGGAGCTGAAGTTGGATGGTTTTCTGAAGACTTACAAGACCTTCTAGAATTAATACCAAAAAAAGATGTCCTTTTCATCATCAGTTCAGTTCAGTCATTCAGTCGTGTCCAACACTTTGCAACCAAATGGACTGCTGCACTCTAGGCTTCCCTGTCCATCACCAACTCCTGGAGCTTACTCAAACTCATGTCCATTCAGGTGGTGATGCCATCCAACCATCTCATTCTCTGTCATCCCCTTCTCCTCCCACATTCAATCTACCCCAGCATCAGGGTCTTTTCAAATGAGTCAGTTCTTCACATCAGGTGGCCAAAATATTGCAGTTTCAGCTTCAGCATCAGTCCTTCCAATGAAAATCAGGACTGATATCCTTTAGGATTAACTGGTTGGATCTCCTTGCTGTCTAAGGGACTCTCAAGAGTCTTCTCCAACATCATAGATCAAAAGCATCAATTCTTCAGCACTTATATTTCTTTCATCATAGGGGATTAGAATGCAAAAGTAGGAAGTTAAAAGGTACCTGGAGTAACAGGCAAGCATGGCCTTGGAGTACAAAATGAAGCTGGGCAGATGTTAACAGAGTTTTGCAAAGAGAATGCACTGGTCATAACAAACACCCTCTTCCAACAACATAATAGATGACTCTACACATGGACATCACCAGATCTTCAATACCAAAATCAGATTGATTATATTCTTTGCAGCAGTTTCAATGAAGAGATACATATCTCTAACAATTCTCTTTTTAAAACTGATTAATTAAAAAATTTTTGATGCAGATCATTTCTTTGGAAGTCTTTACTGAATTTGTTACAATATTGTTTTTATTTTATGTTTTTTTTTTTTTTTTTTGGCTGTGAGGCATGTGAGATCTTGGTTCCCTGATGAGGGATCAAACCTGCACCCACTGCATTGAAAGGAGAAGTCTTAATGACTGGGCTGCCCCCAAAGTCATTTTCTACTTTTCAAAACAAAAAAATTTATTGAACCTTAGTTGATTAACAATGTTGTATTGGTTTCAGGTGTACAGCAAATAATATATATATATATGTGTGTGTGTGTGTGTGTGTGTGTGTGTATGTTGTTTCTTCAGAGTCTGTTCCATTCTAGGCCATTATGACATACAGAATATAGATCCCTGACAAACAGTAGGTTTTTGTTGTTTGTCTGTTTTATATGTAGAAGTGTATATCTATTAATAATAGTTGCCTTTTAAAATTAATGTGTTGTTTGATCTCTGATTATACTTTGGGGAACTTTGCTATCTACATGGATCTGTGTTACTTTCTATGTTATCAGCTGATAGCATAGATAAGTGGCTCGCTTATCACAATATTCATTTCTTTTCTTGTCACGGTTGCTCAGGTAAGTAGGTATCCTAAGCCCAGGCAGTGGCTTTATGACTGGCATATCAATCTGCCAGTCTTTAGCGTGTGCAAAAGACTTCTTTATGAATGACAGAGTTCACTTAGATTAGCTCAAAGGATGAATGTCCTGTGAGATGCTCAGAAGCTCTACAGGAATAAGACAGGGTCTCCTGTGGTATTAGTGTGTGTGTCCATTGGTTGAAGGAGTCCTGATTCTGTGTAGATGCACTGTGCTTATGTATGTAGGTCAAGTGCTAGCACTGATTTATGAACTTGTACATCATACTCAAGAGTCAGTGAAAGGCCTGGGAAGAAATATCTTCTTAGCTTAATAACTATAATGGGTTTGAAACTCAGACTGCTGAGAAAGTGACCAGGGTATAACAATGAAAACTGGACTGTTCAGATGTAAAAGAGAAGAGAAATTTGAAATAATGATAAAAAAAGAGCTATGAACATAATCCTAGAAGCAAGAAAATTCATTTAAAAATTCACTGATAAAACTTTTAAATGATCCAATCCCTGGGAAAAGTCTGGATGGTCTCATCTCTAGAGGCCCCATGAACATCGGAATTCTGGTGGCCATAGATAACTTTAATAGATCACACAAGTGTGCTAGTCAACAAAAGAGTCCGAAATACAGTACTTGGGTGCAAAATAAAAAATGAAAGATGATTTCTGTTCATTCCCAAGGGAAACCATTCAATATCAGAGTAACCCAAGTCTGTGCCCTGACCACTAATGCTGAAGAAGTTGAAGTTGGATGGTTCTCTGAAGACCTAAAAGACCTTCTAGAATTAATAGCAAAAAAGATGTCCTTTTCATCATCAGTTCAGTTCAGTCAATCAGTTGTGTCCAACTCTGCGACCCAATGGACTGCTACACACTAGGCTTTCCTGTCCATCACCAACTTCTGGAGCTTAATCAAACTCATGTCCATTTAGTCAGTGATGTCATCCAACCATCTCATCCTCTCTTGTCCCCTTCTCTTCTGCCTTCAATCTATCCCAGCATCAGGGTCTTTTCAAATAAGTCAGTTCTTTGCATCAGGTGGCCAAAGTATCACACTTTCAGCTTCAGCATCAGTCCTTCTAATGAATATTCAGGACTGATCTCCTTTAGGATGGACTGGTTGGATCTCCTTGAAGTCCAAGAGACTCTCAAGAGTCTTCTCCAACACCACAGTTCAAACGCATCCGTTCTTCAGTGCTTAGCTTTCTTTCATCATAGGGGATTGGAATGCAAAAGTAGGAAGTCAAAAGATACCTGGAGTAGCAGGCAAGCTTTGCCTTGGAGTACAAAAGGAAACTGGGCAAAGGCTAACAGAGTTTTGCCAAGAGAACTAACTGGTCATGACAAACACCCTCTTCCAACAACATAATAGATGAGTCTACACATGGACATCACCAGATGGTCAATACTGAAATCAGATTGATTATATTCTTTGCAGCCAAAGATGGAGAAGCTCTATATAGTCAGTAAAAACATGACTGGGGGCTGATTGTGGTTCAGATCATGAATTCCTTATTGCAAAATTCAGACTTAAATTGAACAAAGTAGGGAAAACCACTAGGCCATTCAGGTATGACCTGAAGTAAATCCCTTGCAGTTATACAGTGGAAATGAGAAATAGATTCAAGGTATAAGATCTGATAGACAGTGCCTGAAGAACTATGGACAGAGGTTCATAACATTGTACTGAAGGTAGTGATTAAAATCATCCCCCTGGAAAATAAATGCAAAATGGCCAAGTGGTATCTGAGGAGGCCTTACAAATAGCTGAGAAAAGAAGAGAAGTGAAAGACAAAGGAGAAAAAGAAAGATATACACATCTGAATGCAGAGTTCCAGAGAATAGCAAGTAGAGATAAGAAAGCCTTCCTCAGTGATCAGTGCAACGAAATAGAAGAAAACAATAGAATGGGAAAGACTGGAGATCTTTTCACAAAAATTAGAGATACCAAGGGAAAATTTCATACAAAGATGGGCACAATAAAGGACAGAAACCATATGGACCTAACAGAAGCAGAAGATATCAAGAAGAGGTGGCAATAATACAGAGTAGAACTATACAAAAAAGATCTTAACGACCTAGATAACCACGATGGTGCTGTGATCACTCACCAAGAGCCAGACATGCTGGAGTGTGAAGTCAAGTGGGTCTTAGGAAGCATCACTATCAACAAAGCTAGTGGAGGTGATGGAATTCCAGCTGAGCTATTTCAAATCCTAAAAGATGATGCTGTGAAAGTGCTGCACTCAATATGCTAGCAAATTTGGAAAACTCAGCAGTGGCCACAGGACTTGAAAAATCAATTTTCATTCCAATCCAAAAGAAAGGCAATGCCAAAGGATGTTCAGACTTCTGCACAATTGCACTCATTTCACATGTTAGCAAAGTAATGCTTAAAATTCTCCAAGCTAGGCTTCAACAGTATGTGAACTGAGAACTTCCAGATGTACAAGCTCGATTTAGAAAAGGCAGAGGAACCAGCAATCAAATTACTAACATCTGTTGTATCATAGAGAAAGCAAGAGAATTCCAAAAGACATCTACTTCTGCTTCATTGACTATGCTAAAGTCTTTGACCATGTGGATCGCAACAAACTGAGGAAAATTCTTCAATAGGTGGGAATACCAGAATGCCTTATCTGCCTCCTGAACAACCTGTATGCAGGTCAAGAAGCAACAGTTACAACTAGACATGGAACAATGGAGTGATTCCAAATTCGGAAAGGAGTACATCAAGGCTGTATGTAATCACCCTGCTTATTTAACTTCTATGCAGAATGTATAATTTGAAATGTCAGGCTGGATGAAGCAGAAGCTGGAGCCAAGATTTCTGGGAGAAATATCAATAACCTCAGATATGCAGATGACACCACCCTTATGGCAGAAAGTGAAGAGGACCTGAAGAGCCTCTTGTTGAAGGTGAAAGAGAAGAGTGAAAAAGCTGGTGTAAAATTCTACATTCAAAAAATGAAGATCATGGCATCCAGTCCCATGATTTCATGACAAATCACAGTAACATTATACTGGAGGTGGTGGTCAAAATCATCTCCAAGGAAAAGAAATGCAAAAAGGCAAAATGGTGTCTGAGGAGGCCTTACAAATAGCTGAGAAAAGAAGAGAAGTGGAAGGCAAAGGAGAAACGGAAAGGTATATCCAACTGAATGCAGATTTCCAGAGAATAGCAAGTAGAGATAAGAAAGCATTCTTATGCAAACAAAGCAAGAAGTAGAGGAAAATGATAGATTGGAGAAAGCTAGAGATCTCTTCAACAAAATTGGAAATGTCAATGGAACAATTCTTTCTAAGATGGGCATTGTAAAGACCTAACACAAAAGATAATATTAAGAAGATGTGGCAAGAATAAACAGAATTATACAAAAAAGCTCTAATGACCCAGGTAACCACGATGGTATGGTCATTCACCTAGAGCCAGACAGTTTGGAGTGTGAAGTCAAGTGGGCCTTAGAAAGCATTGATATGAACAATGCTAATGGAGATGATTCAATGCTAATGGAGGTGATGGAATTCCAGCTGAGCGATTTCAAATCCCAAAAAGATAATGCTACTATAGTGCTACACTTGGTATGCAAATTTGGGAACCTCAGCAGTGGCCACAGGACTTGAGAAATCAATTTTCATTCTAATCCCAAAGAAAGGCAATGCCAAAGAACATTCAAAGTACCACATAATTGTTCTCATTTCACATTCTAGCAAGGTAATGCTCAAAATCCTTCAAACTAGAGCTCAATAGTACATGAACTGAGAACTTCCAGATATACAAGTTGGATTTAGAAAAGGCAGAGGAACCAAAAATCAAAATGCCAACATCTGTTGGATTATAGAATAAGCAAGAGAATTCCAGAGAAACAAAACAAAACAAAAAATCTGCTTCGCTGACTACTCTAATATTCCTCTGGGTTTAGGGTTTCTTCTGACCCTTTGTGGATCACAACATGCTGTGGAAAATTCTTAATGAGATGGGAGAACTAGACCTCCCTCCTGAGAAACCTGTATGCAGGTCAAGCAGCAACAGTTCGAAGCAGACTTGGAACAATGGGTTGGTTTAAAATTGGGAAAGGAGTATGTCAAGGCTGTATATTGTCACCTGCTTATTTAATTTATATGCAGAGTACATCATGTGAAATGCTGAGCTGGATGAAGCAGAAGCTGGAATCAAGATTGCTGGGAGAAGTATCAACAACTTCAGATAAGAAGATCATACCACTCTGATGGCAGAAAGTGAAGAGGAACTAAAGAGTCTGTTGATGAAGGTGAAAGAGGAGGGTAAAAAAGCTGGCTTCAAACTCAACATTCAAAAAATGAAGATCATGGCATTCAGTTCAATCACTTCATGGCAAATAGATGGGGAAAAAATAGAAACAGTGACAGACTTTATTTTCTTGGGCTCCACAATCACTGCAGCTGGTGACTGCAGCCATGAAATTAAAAAATGCTTGCTCCTTGGAAGAAAAGCAGTGACAAACCTAGACAGCAAATTAAAAAGCAGAGACGTTACTTTGCCAACAAAGGTCCATATAGTCAAAGCTATGGGTTTTCCAGTAGTCATGTATAGATGTGAGAGTTGGGCCAGAAAGAAGGCTGAGCACCAAAGAATTGTTGCTTTTGAACTGTGGTGTTGGAGAAAACTCTTGAGAGTCCCTTGAACAGCATGGAAATCAAACCTGTCAGTTCAATAGGAAATCCACCCTGAATATTCATTGAAATGACTGATGGTTGAGCTGAAGCTCCATTACATTGGCCACCGGATGGGAAGAACCAACTCATTGGAAAAGACCCTGGTGCCTGGAAAGGTTGAGGGCAGGAAGAGCAGAGGGAGAGAGGATGAGATGGTTGGATGGCATCATGGACTCAGTGGACATGAGTTCCAGCAAACTCTGGGAGATAGTGAGGGAACATGGCGGCTTGGCATGCTGCAGTTCACAGGGCCTCAGAGTCAGACGTGACTTACTGACCGAACAACAGCATCTCGGCTCCTACACCTCGTCACAGGAACCAGGCTCTGTGTCCAGGCTGTTAGCCCGAGGGCCCATTCATCTCAGTACAGTGTATTGCTTCCTGACACACAGCCTTGAGGGATGCACTATGGGCCTAAGGAGTCAGCCCAAGTATTCCTCTTCATCCTGCAAGTAACCAGTCCTCTTGCCTCAGATTCCTCCTATCCCCTTGTGAGTTTGTTTCTTCATTTTTTAAAGTGGAAATGTAATTCTTATTCTTTCTGCCTCACAGTGATATCTGGATCACCACTTTGTACAAAGTATTTCAAAAGAATGGTACAATTGTAAGCTGTTTTAAAACATGAAGTGCAAAAAAAAAAAAAAATGCAGTGCTTAATATTAGGTAAAATCCCTTTAAGCTTTATGTGCAACCATTCTAGTGAATTCTAGTCTTATGGAGGCCCTGCCTTCTGAAGACAGTTTTTCAGTCAACCAAACTCTTGGCAAAAGAAAAGTGCTGCTTTTTGTGGGGAATACCCAAAGGTTTGGAGCCAGAAAGAGGTGAACTGGAGTTCCTGTTCTTTGCTTTTCAGAAGATAGTTTATTCTCCTGGAACTGTAATTTCTCCAATTGTAAAAAGAACTATAGTTAGGATATAGTCACATCATTGATTCAACAGCTATTTATGGAATTCCTACTACAAGTCCAATCCTGTGCTGATAGGTACTGACAACTCAGGGATGAGCAAAATTGACATAGTCTCTGCTCTCATGGAAACTGGTTTAACAGGGAACATCAAAAAATTATAAGCAGTCATGGAAAAAGAAAAGCTACGTATAAGTTGCATGGCAAGAAGTAGGTAGTTAGACACATGGAATTACTGTTTGGCACAGGGCTAAGCACTCCATTCCTTTGTTTCTCAGAGGTTTAAGAATTCTGAGGATCTCAGGAGGATGACATTGCTTTGAAGTACTTGGAATCTACTCATTTATGCTATTGAAGGTCCTCCCAGGCAGGATGGCTGGTTTCCCACAGAAAATGATAAGTTGGCCCTAAAATATATTTTGCTCCCATCCCTCTGCATACTCTTGAGTCCCAAGACCTCACTCACGTTTTTGTTTCTCTCCTGATTGGGCTCTTCTGGAGCAAGCTCTCCGATGAGCAGGGGTTTAAGGTACAACCGCACAATGTCAGGGTCCGGATGCATGGCTCTGAAGACGTCCTGTGAATCAGAGAGAACTGTTAGAGGCTTAAAAATTACATGCTTACACACAGATATCTCCGCTTCCTTACTTTGTTCTGTATTGAGCTTAGGAATTAGAACAACCATGTTATAGAGCATTTACTTCTAACTCTAGGTTGACACTTCAAGTTCACTGATCAGAATTACCCTTGGAATTCCTCTATGAAAGCCTCACACTGGAGATCCACCCACTGAGTGCATGGCTTACTAGGCAAGTCCTGGGTAGAAAGTTGATCCCCAAGCATTGGAAGAGATCGTTGTTTATTTTATTGAGCACCAGAAGTAGTTGGCTTTGAGATTATGGGCCATGGTGAATCTTTAGAGTCAAACCTCAGGCTTGGTGTGGAAGTTGCCCACATTATTTGGGGCATGCAGCAACCAAGACTGCCTATGCAAATCACATCTATCAGAGTTTCCCTTTTAGTTCTTGGTCAAGGACTAGGGGACAGAGGCTCTTGAATTAGGTTATTTCCAAGAAAGACAAGTTAAAGTTGATGATGATAACAAATGTCTAAGAGAGCATGAGAGCTAAGCCCTCGAACCCTTAGTTGTCTAAAGTGGCACTTTCTTGGCTAAGTTTATCACTGAAGAAGCCTTAGCACTCTTTCTAAAAGAAAACACCATAGCATTCTCTATAGGCGCTTGAGACAGGCACGAAATAGAGCTGACCCACTATATTTTTCCAACTCCATTCCCATGTTAAGTAGTAACTCCAAGTGGCTATGAGAAGCAGTGTTGGTTTCCATGTCCTGCTTAAGTTTGGAAATAAGAGACAGTCTTTTTTTTTCTTGCAAGGATTTAAACTGCTTTGGGGGGGAAGGAGGCATCTCCAAGAGAAAGATAATGGACTTCTTGCTTTGCTTTGAGAATAGGAATGATTAAGTATGAAGAAAAATAACCAATGTTTTAATTTGAATATGTGGAATCCATACACAATACTTTGGAGTGGTGGTGTTGCATAGTGCTGATTAAGAAACTGGATCCCCAAGCAGCCTTCCTACACCTAAGTTCGATACTTGCTGTGTAATTGTGGACAAGTCTCTTTTTGACCAGTCCATGCTCCTATTTTCTCTTCCCTAACATGGGAGCGACATTAATAGCTACTCCATTTGTAAAGTTATTATAAAAATTAAGTGAATTGATTAGAATCTGAGTGGTGTATAGTAAATTCTCAGACATATTAGTTCTCTTTCCTGTGTGTATGCCTATAGGCTTCCTTGGTGGCTCAGATGGTAAAGAATCTGCCTGCAATGCAGGAGATTCCGGTTAGATCCCTGGGTTGGGAAGATCCCCTGGAGAAGGGAAAGGCTACNGGTTAGATCCCTGGGTTGGGAAGATCCCCTGGAGAAGGGAAAGGCTACCCACTCCAGTATTCTTGCCTGGAAAATTCCATGGATAAAGGAGCCTGGTGGACTACAGTCCACGGGGTTGCAAAGAGTTGTACATGACTGAACGACTAAGACAGAGGGATAAGGGCTACCTTCCTTCCTTCTCTTCAATAAAGTATAACAGTTCAGAGATTTTCTTTCCATACTCCAATGTCTAATGTGGAGTAAGCTCGGTATTATTTTAGTGAATATAATGAACCCTCCATCTTCAAAATCTAAAGCAACTTTAGATATATATAGAACTACATACAAACTTACACATAAATGTATGTAGGTTGTATGTGTATATATATATATGTGTATATATATATATATATAAAATGAATGAGGTTATTCAGAGGGGTGCAATATAAACTCTTTAGACTCATTTTTCTAGATTCACTGATGTAAGAAGGGATTTGCATCTGCTAGAACCAGTCCAGCCTCTGCTGTTCATTCTGCCTTTGTATACTTTCTCTGACCCCCTTGGGAAATGCTGCTTTCAAAGATGTGTTTTCATTGTCACATTCAATGACTCTAAAGTTAGTTTACCTAACAGGATGAGAGTCATTCGGTGATTACAAATGCGACTAAACGTTTCAGGGTGGCCCATACTGAAAAATCACGTTCTGCCTGTTGTTAAGGAACAGATAAGGGTGAGAAACACTCTGAGGGATCAAGATCAGCATGTAGAGGAGGGGTGAGGCCCTGGATTTGCATCTTACTCTGAGCAGCCATCCAGAGCCCTGGGACAGTGTGCTGATGCTAATGTTCCTCTGGGTTCACTGTTTCTTCTGATCTTCAGCAAGATTCACAGGTCAATACTGTGACAACAGAGACTGAAGACCCACAGACTTTTCCAGAAGAGTAAGAACTGCCCTGCTGTGTGGAACTCTTTTCGATGATTTAATGGGCAGCACAAAAGTGGCTTAGACGGTCTTAGAATATTCAATTTGAAGGAATTCCCTATTAGAGTCTGGATACTGAGCAAGTTGTATAATCTCCTTCTCAAAAGACCTTCAAAAATGAATTATCTTTTAAAAAATTAACATTATTTGTCAAATATGCTCCTCCTGAAGAAAGTCCAAGGCTAAATGAAGGGGAGAGGGAGTAACACCTTTTTTTTAGTGTATCCTGTGTACAAGGTGCTCTATGGGCCAACTCAGCATCATCAACTTATTTCTGTGAGGTTCCATCATTTTTGTTATACATANTTTTGCCCCCTTCTGATGCCTATGTCAGAAGCTTTCTCTATCTCCTTTATACTTTAATAAAACTTTATTACACAAAAGCTCTGAGCGATCCAGCCTCGTCTCTGGCCCCGGATTGAATTCGTCTCCTCCGGAGGGCAAGAATCCCGTGTCTAATCGTTCAGCAACAACCTTTCAGTTGAGAAATATTGATTTCAAGGATATGGGTCTTAAGCACTGCAGTCTCTTCCCCGCTCTCAGCATCTCTATTTTCTGACCTCTTAACTACTTTATAATCTCTCATTTTCGTCTGTTATCTTTTGATTCACTTCTCAACCATCATCACTGTTTCCTAACCTATTCATAAATTTACACTGTAGCTCCTCTTAAGACTGATTATTTCCCAAACAGCATCAACACAGAGGAAATGTGTGATATCTTTGCTTTCACAAGAGACTTTGGAAATCCTGCTGATTTTTTGATGTTATTTAATGGGGGATGGAAAGCTGTCCTTTATTGGAAGAGCAGTATGATCCCTAGTAGGAGAGACAAGTATGTAAAGTGAGAAGGCCTGAGAAGGATCATGTCCTTACAATTTACCTACTGTATACAGGCTGTGCCCTGCATCAAGGCACTTGGCCTAGAGGGCATGTGTGGGTTGAAATTCAGGAGACATTCCCTTGGCCAAATCTTGTTCTTCAATCAACCAAAGTGTGTGCCTATAAAATTTACACCAAAATACAGCATAGGGAGCAGTGCAGGATGTTGTTTATATTGGAAAAATGCTTAATCTCTCAAGATTCAATCCGTTTTCTAACTGTGGATGCTACTTATTCTCCCACATGGGCTCATTTATTCCTTCATTCATTTATTCAGTCATTACAAAACCTTGCTGAAAACTTAGCCTAGCAACAAAGAGCTTAAGTTTGGGTATCAGATGCTATTAAATGATATTTTTATATAATTATTATTTGGTTCACCTGAAGAGGGTTGAAATTTCCACAAATTCAGAAAAAAGAAAAGCATAGTGAATATATGTATATAGTCACAAAATCAATATAACTAGAACATAGATTTTGATTTACTTATCTCAAAAAAGCTCACCAGGGGACTTCCCTGTCAGTCTGGTGATTAAGACTCCATGCTTCCATGGAGGGATGAGGGGTCCATCCCTGTTGGGCAACTAAGGTCCCCCATGCCTTGCAGCACAGCCAAAAACCAGAAACTCCCCAGAATATTCAATACCCAACCACAGACACCCATTCCTACATCTTTGGGTAATTTCTCTTCTGCTTCCTTCTCAGACCTCACCTGTTTCAAGGCAAATGCTAAATCAAGGTCCCTAGTATTTCTGGGAGATCACAAGTTTTGAGTAGACTTATTTATGTGTAGAATATACTGTTTGCCTATGTTCTGGAAAAGAGCCACTTTGGAGTGGAGAATGTTTACATGAAGTCACCAAGATTCCCCTCTACCTACAGGGATAAACAGAGGGCTATTTTTTTTTTTTTGCCATAACTCACTCTATTATTTGAAAGCTTTCATTATTTCAGATTATTTCCTGTGATATACTTAACTGAATTCCAGGCCAGATTCTCTCTCTCTCTCTCTCTCTCTTTCTCTCTCTCTCTCTAGTGTCCCCACCAAACCTTCATCTTCCTGGCTTTATTACCCCGTAATGGCAACTGCCACCCACCTACCTACACGAGTCATCCATCAGACAGTGTAGACTCCTTACTCCTGCTTACTCACCCAGCCACTTACCCCCTGTTATAAATGATGTCTCCTCGTTATCCATCCCCTCGTCCTCATTCCTGTGGTCAGTGTCTTATTCAGGACTTCAGCATGTTCCGTGGACTCCTTCCTTTGTTTTGACTCTGTAAATTTTTTCTTTTTATATATATGGGACCATAGCCTATTAGCAATGTTGTGATAGCTTCAGGCGGAGAGCAAAGGGACTCAGCCACACGGATATCTGTATCCATTCTGCCTTGACTAAGTCTTCTTGATCTTCAACCTTTACTTAACCTCCAGGCTGGCGTTTGAAAAAGAGTCCCTCTTCATGGGCATTATCACCCATTAGCACTTTAACTGCACTTGTCTCTTTACTCTTGTACCTTTTTTCAACTTGAACCATCATTCAAATGAGAATCAAAGTAAAGTTTAATTTTAAAGTAAAAAAAAAAAATGTTGACAGCCCACAAAAGATGCACTTATTACGGATGACAACTTTCCTTTTATAAAGAGCTGGAGTCCTGGTTGGTTTCCTTGTAGGACTGGGTGTAAGGAGGGATGCTGGGCTAGAGAAGTGTCATTACCTTCAGTGGGAGGGGAGGAAGACCTACAATGATGGTAAAATTCAGAGTCCTTCGCTCAGAACTCAAGACCCTTTCTCCCCCTCCTCCTTCTCTTGTCTCTTTCT